GTGGGCAGATGACTAGAGACAGGTACCTCATTTATTCTTTCCGTTAGGTTTATGCTCACCACTTATCACACACCCACACTCCAGCCCATTCAGAACCAATGTTTCTTTCCTGCCTTTCTAAAATGAAACTTTTGGTAAAATATTTTTAGATTTATGAAAAAATAAAAATTAAAGTAAGAAAATAAATTTTTAATTGGAGCAAATGCTTTACTGTAGTTTGACCTACAGCTGTCCAATAATAAAAATCCCACACTGTAGATTACCATAATTTAGGAACTAGATACAGCATACACTGGCAGAAGCACACATTTCTTCAAAACAAAAGTTCAGCTCCTGGGTTATAGCAACGATCCAGACAATAGGAAATCCTTGGGACATGTTTTTGCCATGGTCTTGCTGTAGGAATCTGGACAAGCAACTTATCCTCATGAATAGAATGACTCTTTCAGGTAATGAAAGGCAGCAACTGAATTTTCCTTAGGACAGGTTGCAGTTCAGAAAGACAAGGATTTCTCCAGTTTCTCAATGGAGACAAACCTCCTTTACCTCAGCCCCATTCTGCTCTGCAGCCGAATTTACTGTCTGTTCAAAACAGCCACAGGAGCTCTTGCCTGTCTCAAAGGAGCTCTGTGAAATTAGATTCATTAAGCCGTGCTAAGTGCTATGAGATTCTCGCATGGTAAAATTTTAGAAGTGCAGAGAGCACTGTCATCTAACAAGGGGCCTCCTCTGTCCAACAAATGTGTCATACACACTTGTGTATTTTGTTGAAGAAACCCTATCTGTTCTAACACTTTTGAGATTTTTTTTTCTAAAGTGTTTTCTGTGCTCCCTAGCTCTGTAGACATTCAGGCAACCCATGTAACAGACTCTGAGCTGTTAAAAAGGGAAATTTTAACCAAAACCATCAGAATAAATCCTACTGCCAGCAAAGAAAGTCCTACAGAAGATATGCAAAAAGCTTTATGGGATTCAGTAAATCCATATATGAGCTTCTGAGACATATAGGTGTTACCAACCTGAGCCCGCCTATCATCAGGACTCTTTAAGGGCCAGAATTATAGAATCATAGTATTATAGAATCACAGACTGGTTTGTGTTGGAAAGACCTTTAAAGCTCATCTGGTCCAACCCCCCTGCCAAGGGCAGAGACATCTTCAACTAGATCAGGTTGCCTAGAGCCCCATCCAACCTGGCCTTGAACGTTTCCAGGGATGGGGCATGTATCACCTTTCTGGGCAACCTGTACCAGTGTTTCACCACCCTCATCATAAAAAATTTCTTCCTTATATCTGTATACTCAGAAACCAGATTCACATGTTTGATAGCTGTCCTTAATTCACTGCTTCTTGCAAGAAGTTATTAGGAAGCCATTTTCAGTGTCATAATCCAGAGTGGCGATTTCCCACAAGTATTTGTACTGTCCCTGATGTACAGAGAAGTAGAAGTGACAGATGTGGCTACAATGCTGTGAGAGGGACATCAGTCTCCTCTGGCACTGCTCTGGCCACTCCATTTGCAGGGTTTGCTGGTACAGCATGTCCCTACGGAGGGACGTGGCTCACACTGGACTTTCTGTCGTGCTTATGTTGGGCAGCTCCTTATGAATCACTCACCATCGCAGGAGCGGGGTGAGAGCCAGGTTTGCTTGGGAAGTGGTCACTTTAGCACAGGACAGTGGCTACACTAATAAACCCGGCAGTGTGAGGGCAAATAAAGGTTTCCCATCACACTGGAAGTAAAGGTTTCCCATCGTGCAGCAAGCCGTGCAAAGTGATTGTTTTAGGGTTGCAGCAAAGAACATCCAGACTTATTTTCAAAGGTGCTAAGCATCTGCAAAACCCACTGGTTTTGACAGAAAAAAAAAAAAGAAAAAAAAAAACAGGCTGCTACTGCTATTTAAGTGCCAACATATGGATTTCAGGCTCTAATTGCATGCACCGTGGCTTGATTAAATTGCTGCCTGGAGCTTTGCCAAAACAGATTATTTCACTTAGCAAAAGCTGGATCTGCACTGCAATTCTGAAGCTGTAGCACACATCCCAAAGCAGCGTGGAGCTGCGGTGTAGGTGTGCCTCAGGTGGTTCAATCTTGGTGCACATAACTGGTTCACATTGCACTGTCCTCTACTACACTGAGCCGCTGCAGAATAGACATAACCTGTTAGCCGTGCCTTTATCTTGTAGCTCATTTTATCAGGATCTGATTTTCAGAATCAGATGTTCAGATCAGCACGGAAACGTTTAGAAAATGGGTCTGTTCTGGAACTGGCTGCATCAGCTAAGAGCCTGAGACCTGAGCTCTTTTGAAAAATTAGTCCCTAAAATCAAGATGTTAGAATATTGCAGGACATCCCCAATGTCAGAATTTCCAGAAGAGTGTCCTGATCTGAATTAATAACAGATACAACTTCACTGAGCTCCATGATCAGTCACAGTTCTCGGGGATGATTGGGTCACTATCCTCTATGATTAATCAGACTTTCTTAAATTCGTTAATTTTTGGCCTATGAAAAACCTACCATCTGGACAGCTTTGCAGTGAACAGCGTTAGAGCAAAGAGCATTGCCACAGGAAAACTTTCTTCTCCCTGTGGCACAGGAAGCAGAACTGCAGGCAGTTTGCAGGGACCTTAGAAGTATAGTGACCTCCAAGGCTCGGGGCCCCCTTGTGAAATGAAGGTGTAGTTCTGTTTCCCAGCGTATGGATACTTTTGTTGCTTAGACTAAAAGAAAAAAACAAAAAAATCACCAAAAAAACCCCCCAACCACTCCAAAAGCAATAGAAAAGCTGCTATATTTGTTAGGAGTATCTTTCTGTGAGCTGAAGGCTTGACTACACACTGAATAGTACTGCTTTAGCTAGAAAACTTACTTTTTAGTTAGTTTGGGAGGGGGGAGAATGCAGAATGATGTGTGTGGATATCCTTATTGTGGTTTAGTTCAAATAAAATAATTCCTGCTAGAATAAACTGAGACAAAAATAGCAATTCCAGCCTACACAGTTCTGCAAGAAATGTTCTGGAATAGCCAAACCAAGAACATTCTTACTACCAAGTCAAAGTGCTCCTTTTTGAGTGAGGACATGTGAACCGAACATATGTGTGGATATGTGGGCATGTAATCAAAAGTTATAAAATCACAGAGGTTTAACAATTCTCAAAGTATCCATTGCACCTTGCTGACAAAACAAACCTCTCAGCCCACCCCATTGCTTTAAAGCTGTTCATTTAAATCACCGCAATGGAAAATAAATCCCACATTTCCAGTGCAAGGCAGTTTAATGCACGTTACCACCTGGCAGGGTGGTTAAGGACCCATCAGCTGTTTCCCGAGGGACAGTAACTTGTTCAGCCACAGCACTTCCCAGCCCAATGCCCACACCCACTGGCAAAACCACGGGGTGTTAGCCGAAGCTCCCTGTCAGGATACTCCTTCCAGGCAGTGTAGAAGAGGCTTTATTTTGGTTTAAACTAAAATAAACTACTGTGAGTGGTTTATAGAGACATGTCGCAGCTCCTCAGATACAGGCACCTAGAGACCTGAGATGTCAGGGCATCCCACCTGCTCTTCCCCGGTGCCCCAGAAGGACAGCAAGACATGGGTCCCCTGTTTCAGGAGGCCCATGTGGTTGTGAAAGGCACTGTGCACGTACGGCTAGGCAGCAGTCTGGTCCGGACAAGAGATTACACCAGTTAGCAGTGGGAGACAAGCCACAGAGTGGCAGTCGTCCAGTGTCTGTATTAAAGACAGAATCTAAATCTATAAAATCCCAAGAGATAACGGTTGTAGAAAAGGAATAAAATTCTGTTGGCTATTTTCACCAGTCTATTGACATCTGAGCCTTTAAAATTTGCCTTGTTCCACAACATTTTTTTCAAAATAGTCCTTTGTGTTTGAATTCTCACAGATGTAGTCTATGGTCAGAGAAACATTTGGGGGAAATGTGAAAAATTAATTGATTGGGCAATTTTTAATAAGTTTCCCTTAGGAATCTCAAGTACACTATTGCTTTTCTGATGGTTTTGTCAGGCTGTAATCAAAATCAGCTTTAAATTTAATTAACAGGACACAACTTCCACTCACCAAGAGCAGAAGTCCAAAGTCTTCCCTTTGTCATTTAAGAAACAATCATAGGAAAAAAATTGTCATATGCTTTCTTCATGGCTTTCCAGGTATTATCAGGAGCTACCCTTCTATGAGAGTAACAGAGTAGATTTGGGAATATTTAAGCAAGGGACATAGCAACGCATGAAAAAAACCCTACAAACCCCAGGACTTTAGACAACATAAATCACAGAAGAAGGGCAATTAGAGAGTATTAGAAGTTTTTATTATTTATGAAAAACTGTAGGTCAACATGACATTGTGCAGCACTTGAAGAGTACTAACATGCAACACATGCCATCTCAGGAGGACTGCAGTCAAAACAGTTCAGAAAAAAGGGTTTAAATGGGTAAAGCTAGGAGAGTTGGAAACTCAGAGCTTGAACAAGTGGGGTCAGAAAGTTATGTGAGAGGCCTGTACATGTACATCTGTGATATTTGCATAAAAGAGAAATTTATCTCTTATTAGTGCACTTGGTTATCAAATACAATGAGTCTTGGAGAAGATGAATCACACTATGAGCAGGAAAGGCAAGCCAGTCCCCACACCCTAGCAAGGAGCACAGGCTGAGACTGAAGTATATTGTCCATTTGTGTCAAATTCTCTGTTGGTTTAAACAGACTCAGTTTGACAGAAATAAAAGGTCCATTACAGTCCCAATAGGGGACTGGGAATTCCTCTGGGAATTAACTGGGCAACAGAACAGCTATTCTGCATATGGACAGTGCACTGCTCTCACTGGAGTATGTTATCAACATCCTCTATCAACACCCTTAATCTGTGATTGTCAGAACATCTTCTATTAAAAAATATGGTTATGCTTTTCCCTAGATTTTTCTGTTCAGCTTTATAAATACCACCCTTTAAAAATCTATGTTTTCCTCTTTCTCTCTAGGTGGCAAATTTGCTGAGACTCTTCCAGATCCCCCAGATAAGCTATGCCTCCACCAGTGCCAAGCTGAGTGACAAATCCCGCTATGACTATTTTGCGCGGACAGTGCCCCCTGACTTTTACCAAGCAAAAGCAATGGCTGAAATCTTACGGTACTTCAACTGGACTTATGTGTCAACAGTTGCTTCAGAGGGAGACTATGGGGAGACAGGGATCGAAGCCTTTGAGCAGGAAGCTCGCCTCCGCAACATCTGCATAGCCACCTCCGAGAAAGTGGGCAGGTCCAACATCAGGAAGTCCTACGATGGCGTGATCAGAGAGCTGCTCCAGAAACCCAACGCCAGAGTGGTGGTGCTCTTCATGAGAGGTGATGACTCTCGGGAGCTCATTGCAGCTGCCAACCGCTTCAACGTTTCCTTTACCTGGATTGCCAGTGATGGATGGGGAGCTCAAGAGAGTATTGTCAAGGGCAATGAGCACATAGCTTCTGGGGCAATAACCTTGGAACTTGCTTCCCATCCAGTTAAAGAGTTTGACAGGTATTTCCAAAGCCTCAGCCCCTACAATAACAGACGCAATCCCTGGTTCAAGGACTTCTGGGAGCAAAAATTCCAGTGTAATCTCCAGAACCGAAAACCACATAAAAAGGCTTGTGACAAGCACTTCACCATCAACAGTTCCAACTATGAGCAAGAATCCAAGATCATGTTTGTTGTGAATGCTGTGTATGCAATGGCCCATGCCTTGCATAAAATGCAGCGGACTCTGTGTCCAAACACCACCAAACTCTGTGATGCCATGAAGCATCTGGATGGAAGGAAGCTGTACAAAGATTATCTCCTGAAAGTAAACTTTACAGGTAATAACTTCTTTTTTGGTACATACAGAATGTCACTGTAATTAATGAAATCTTCATCAGTCACAGTAAGAGCCAGATGAATTCCCAGTAGCACCTATATCAAAGTTCAGACCAGGGTGATACCCGGGCAAGGCCACTCCTGACACAGGAAGGGAGAAAGATGGAGAGGGACAGGGAGCATGGTGAAAACCCTAAAAAAAACAAGCTTGATGCTCCTCCTGTTTCCAGCAGAAGGAAGAGGTTGAGCTGGTCTTGGAAATGTTGCCTACTTCCACACACCAACTTTCCACTTCATTCACAGCCAGTTTGGCTTCAGCTGGGCATGTCTGGAGGCCAGTGGTCATTTCACCACCTGCTACACTAGGCAATCGCCTGCTATGTCACTGCCAAAACTTGGCCTTCTCTTCCTCATTTTTTTTAATGAATTTACATTATAGCTGGACCCAGTCAATGGCTAATGTCCTTGCAATAGTAAAGCAATAATTCCTGCCATACAACCAGATCAGTATAGAATATTTAAATACATAGGATAGTGCCATTACCTATGTTACAGATCTTTAGGCTTGATGACAAAGTATAAAAAGCTGGATTAAACATGTGCAGGAGGCTTGTGGAGAGAGACTGGATGATCTGTCAATGATATAAGCAAACTTCATGGGGACTGGCTGTGCAGCACATAACATCTCTGTGGTTTTGCCATCACATTAGACTGAGCTTAGGTTTGTTATTAATATAACACCATAGCAAAGCTAAACAGATCTACAGAGGAAACAAGTAAAGTGTAGAGCATCATGTCTTTTTGTCGTTACATGTCTAACTTTCTCCTGAAACATCTAGGTTGAGCTTGCATTTCTATGTATTATTAAACTGCTATTCTCAGCTGACCGAGTTGATAGTAAGGAAACATGCTGTGCTTTGTCTAAGAACTAGCTCCAAGAAGAATTGAAGGGTGAATACGTGTATGATACAACATGCTCAGTCCCAAGAGACCCTCAATAATAGCATACCATGACTAGCACTGGAAACTATGAAACTGTCTGATTGGAGCGTGAACTTTTCCCTCCTTTAAAGGTCTTCTCTGCTCTTGATTCAGACCACCTCGAGATACTGCCAGCCACATCCCTAGTGCTTCTCTCAGTCTCAGTGGGGTATGGCTGGTGTAGACAAGTACTCCATTTTCTTGGGAACTTGTAGGCGTAACTCCTAGCACATGCTGCAGAACTCCTTAGGTCTCCCAGTGTTCTTCTAGCTGACTAGCTGACTTGTTTAGAGCACATCAGGAATTCTTGCAGACCACATGCCTGGATTTCTTTACCATGGAAATCAAGAAGGGGCGGATGGGACTGGTCAGTTGCTGCATCTGAATTCATCTCTCAGGAGGACCCAGGATCTTGGACATGCTCTAGTAATACAGATTCAGTCACAAAGAAAAAATAATATGAGAGCATCTGGAAGTTGAGATACTTCAAAACCCTCATCTGAGTGCTGCATGCAATGCAGCTGAAGCCGTATGTCTGGCCTGAGCAACATGACGCTTGCATGCATCATGTCGTTTGGTCTCCTCCTAAAAACTGCTGCATTAGTAAGCATAGTCACATACCATGACATATACAGATGCACAGACAACATATACGTATCATATGTCATGCTGTAATTGCATTTGATTTATTTACTAATTTCACAAGCAGCACAAGACAGAATGGAACAACCTTTTAGTCTTTAGAGCTATGGAAAATAAGAACCGTCATTTCTCCTCCCTCTCCATACAGCACTTAATACATTGAAATTATTTTCTTGTTTGCCTACACTTATTCTCAGAGATACTTGAATGTCTTCAAAGTGTTGAAATCAAATGGTTTTAGGAGCACAGCACTTCACAGAAGCTGGGTCCTGGCATACTGATCACAAGGGGTGGCAGTGATGTGCAATGTGCTTCTGCCCCTGTCAGGGAGACACTTCAGGACAGTAACAACCTACCCAAACGAGTAAGCACTTCAATAACTTAAACTTCAATTATTTTTAAACTTTTTCTGATACTCCAGGTATTTTTATGGGCTTAAATTTATACACTCGTAATAGAGTCCAGCTTTTGTCTGTAACTAACAGTCTTGGTTCCAGTACATGACTCCTAATTGTTTTTCTATCGTGCAGAGATTTTTCAAGCACCTAAGCATTTTCCCACTCAGCATTTAGACATAATATCAAAATAACTACAACTTTCTTTGACCAAAACTCCAGAAAAAATTTCATTTAGATACAGTTAGAAAAAATCATTTTCATTTTGACCAAAATATCTTTTATACTTTTAATGAGTTGGAAGTTGAAGCTGTTCAAGCTAAAAAAAGCCAACAAAGCCTGTCATTTTGCAATTTTGAAAACAGAAGGCTCTTTTTTGAACCAAATTAATTTGTTTTAAAATCAAAATGGAAATCTTTGAAACTCTGAAAAGCTTTAGTTTCAGTTAATTTTCATTTCCATTTTAAAACATTAAAAAACCTGTCGAGTTCTTTTCCAATGGCTTTGTTCCATATATATTGCTACTAGCCTACAGCATGATTAGTTCATCTCCTGTTTCTTTGTTATCAGTTCTTCCATTATAGTGTGAATTCATGTTTTAATGTCAGTGATTTTTGAAAGCAGATGAGTGATTTTTATGTAGTGAGAGAATCAGCAAATCTCCCATGGCTTCTTCCTTTCAGAAAGGTGTGAAATTTTAATACATACAAGACTTGTCATTGATTTCCATGGGACCAAGCATTCGCCTTTGCTCTTTTCTGGTTGAAGAAAGTCTCTGGGTGTCTTGTTAATACAATTTCAGGACCCTGCTGCATGGTACATTTGATACTCTCATGTTTCCAGCTCCAAATCTGAGAACGTATCCCCAGTGCAGAGAGAAGTTGCTGTGGAAGCTACCTGCCCATCAGATACACTGCAATCAAGTCAGATGATTGGGAATTATTTTTCCTCTTTAGCCTAGGTAGTTATCCACATCCAAAAGGAATCATGCAAGAAATAGAATAACAGCGATAACCATGTTCACACACACACACAAACAGCTATTTAAGCAACGCCTCCTCTCCTGAAAGGCAGAGGTACAAATAGATGATCCCTGCATGCATAAACCCGCAGCTTGCCGTGAAAAAAACATCTGACAAATGGCCCTGAATGTATTCTCACAGCTTCCAGGAACAGGTGATGGTGCATTTCAAACATACCAGTCTGAGTAAATGATAGGGTGCATCTATATGACTGGTGTGGGACTGTGCAATTTTAGACATTTACCCTACACACTTGAATTAGTTTTGGTTAGTCTCTGATTACTGTTAATGGAGGGGATCAGCACTTACAGACATGTTCAGCCCACGTGAGGTAGCCCACGTGAGATAAGATTTGCCCCGTGCTATTGACTACAGCTGAAGCATAGAGCAACCAGGATTTTCACTTGCCATTTAGTTGAAAGCCTGAAGTCGGACTCTCGGGCACAGCAATAATGGGATCTGTAGGGAACTACTGAAAATACTCAGGCCCCAGCTAACAGCAGGGTTGGAGTAGAGGACCAGTCAGGATTTGTGCACTGTCATGCTGCCACTGCTACTGACATGCTGTGTGACAGATATTTCATTAATATCTCTGGGGTCCTACTTATTTCTCGTTTTTCATTAAATTGAAATAACTCCATAGAACTGCAGTGTGGCACGAAGGCAGGGTGCAATTTCATTCCTCATTGTCTGTGAGATTCACTGAACACATAATTTTCTGGCAAGTCAGTAAGATGTATATGACAAATGCCGTGACATCCTGAATCTTTTCGGTAACAAAAGAGATGCTTATGCCTGATTCCCACTTCCAGCAGCAGGATCTGAGAATGCAAAGCCTGGCCCCTAGATAAACACACTCACTCCATCTCAGTGCTTGTTTGGCCTTTCAAAGAGATATAGACTGGTTCATCTTCTTGATCTTCTTATCCTCTGTGTTCCCTCCTGAGGGCACAAGTGCAGCACTTGATGTTCTGAATCATGATGCTCTTCTGCTGATAAAGAGATGCTGGTTCAAGAGGCTGTTAGCTTGAATTGCCAGAACAACAAAGACAGACTGGTGAAGAGGGCTTTAAACTAAAGTTGCCAGGGGAGGCGAACTTCAATCCATCCCACTCCTACCAGTTTGATGCCAGTGCCAGCAATAGATGCCCAGAGCCTGAACAAGGATCACAGGTCAGCAGAAGAGCGCCTGCAGTGCAGCACAAAGGAATTCCAGCCACTCCAGCCAGTCAGTCATCTTCATCGGGGGCCCAACTCAAATGCCTCTGTGCAAACACACATATAGCATGGGGAATGAACAAGAGGAGTTGGACCCATGCACACTCCTGCGTGGCTGTGATCTTATTGGTATCACAGAGATGTGGTGTGATGGCTCCTATAACCACAGTGTTGGAATGGAAGGATACAGGCTCTTT